TCGCCACTGCGTAACCTTGCCGCTCAGACGCGCTTCGAAATTTTTGTTAATAGGATGAGAAGCGGAAAGGGCGTCGCATCCAGCGTCTGTTTCGCGCGTTTGGGTGAAGAATTCCTCATGTGCTCTCTGCTCCCACTCGCCCTAGCCCTCCCGATCTCGTTCAGCTGAGGAATGGTGTAAATAAAATTATATGCGTCGAATAGGGCTTCAAAATCTTTGAATTCCTCTCCTCCCTCTCGGTTTTTTATAGCACGCTCTTCTTCCATGTCCCGGCTTTCCCTCACTCGGCTACAGCGGCTCGACAGCGGAGGATCCTGCAATCTTTTTTACTGTATCAAGGGGCGAGCAACACCAGTGAAGATGCAGAGCACCGCGCATCTTCCCCTCTCCCTGTTCGTTTCACGCAGGAAGGAGTTGCAATGAGCGAGCAGCAGGTCGAGCGACGCATTGGGAGACCGAAACTTGTTGTAAGGAGCTTCGGGAATGAAATTAAACGGTGCAAATTCCTCTTTCTCGCTATTCTACACTTTGATTTCATTCCTCACTTTCGTTTTATGATTTGCCTCGTTTTTTATGCAATCAAAGTGAGGAAGGAAATTAATGTGAGGATTTCCTTCCTCACAAATTCCTCGGTCTCGTGAAGTATGCAGAAAGGAAATCAAAGTGAGCCATGATATCCCATGATATCTTTATAGCTATAACTTTTTCATTTCTGCAATTCTTTTTATGCATTGTTCGTTTCTGGTTACTTTTTGGGTTTAATTACTTTGTGAGCCATGTTATCTTTATATCAGAACTTTTGGAACTGATCCGTGATGATTTCATGCTTCTGCACCATATGCTTCTGTAATATATGTTTTTGTTCTCATTTGCAAACAGTTTTATCAAACATGGGCCGAAATGTCATTTATACAACAATAATTGCCGATAAGTTGTTCTGAATAAGTTGCCCCAAACAAAAAGTCAGCTTGTTCTGATAATTTGCAGATTATCAAATTATCAAAAAAATCTACTTATCAACAGATTATAAATAATCAACAGCTGTCATAACCAGACCTTTAATCTGTCAAACTAATCTGCCAGCCAAGTTGATTGAATTGGTTTACCAAATAGATTAAACAAAGCGGTCGATTGAGTTGGCCAATCGAGTTGAGTCGAGGAATTGGCATGTCATTGAAGTTGACAAACATTGCCTCACCACGACTTGGACTCGGCCAATGAGAATATAGCTATGTAATATTGTTATTAATTTTTTGTTGGACATAATTTTAAGAAATTATAAAAGAAGAATATGAAATAATTTTTAAAAGGAGGAAATAATACATCATTAATATTACTTATGATTTTGATCTCGATTTTTCTAGTTGGGCACTAAGAATTGTGTACAAGGGTTAATGTTGCATTTTATTGGGCTGGAGGTCTCTATCTTTACGTTAAGCCCAGTTTAACAGAAGATGGGCTCCATCTTTACGATACGCCCAGTTTAACAGACCGATAATCTGCTAATCCAACAGCATGGTAGTTACTGGGCTGTATGTTTCTTTAATTTAAGCTCAGGTTGAGGAGAAGACTACATGATATGCTAGTTAAAATATAAAGCTATCACCAATAATATCAAAATGTATGGAAAAATAAAATATTAGTGAATTAGTGAATTAGTGAATTAGTGAATGATAATTATAAGTGATAGAATAATTGTGAGAAGATAATGGTTAGGCGATAACATCAATTATGACCTGTGTGGCCAACCAAAGCTTTTACAGTGACTCACTGTGATCGACGTAAGTAATTATTACTGTATTCTTTTCCTGTTGCCTATGTGGCTAACTGCTGTCATTATTGTCTTCCACTACAACCTCTATGACTAACAAATGCTCTTACAGCAACCCAATATGGCCTATATGATTAGTTACTACTGCAACATTTCACTATGCAAGTACGCACGGGAGAATGAAAAATATCAAAGTTCGTATTCGGCTCATTTATATTTCAAACACAACATTGTGTTTGTGTTCAACTTATTTGCTTAGCGAGCAGAACACGAGTTCTTCACGGACAAAGAATCGTTTTGACAACGCTAATCACGCAATCATGGGATGTTAAGGGTTGGGCCAATATTTAAATCTAATTTATATTAAGACACCATTTAAATATAATTTAATGCAATTTTATTATAAATTTTAATTAATAATTTAAATTGATTATAAATTGTTGTAGTCTTATAGTTAATTACTTTTTTTAAATTACTACTCATCAATATATATCAATCAATATATATATATATATATATATATATAAGTATT